CACAGGAAGCTCAAGGAAAAGCAAAAATAACTTGCCAGCAGAACTAAAAAGTGCACAATGTTTGTAAATCAATGATATAAGATACCTCTTGGGTTGATAAGTAAGATGGCTGCCCCTTGGTTGGGACGAGTTGTTGTAACACAAATTGACATCTTTCCGATTGAATCATCAACTTTGATACTGTATCTGTGATCACCAGCAGCTCTTCGCCTCTTACGATTTGACAGATTAGAACCGGAACTAATCACATTCGAGCCTCCTAAAACACTTCCGGTGAAGCCAGTAAGCTTCAGCAGCTCTTGGTGATTGGATAGACGGAGTACTTGACCGGAAGTTGCATCAGCTAGTTCTTGGAATGACTGGTAATTTGGATTAAGGCATTGTGACGACACTGATGAGAAAATAGGACGATTTAGAAACATCTATGTCGCTAGTCTAGTAACTGCATAGGAATGTAGCATGAAATGAATTGAATATACGACTTGACAACCAAAAACATCGTTATCAATCTGCGTGTGGTGGTGGTGATGATGATGATGATGATGATGATGATAACATCAATAATAAGTTTACCCGTAGTGAAAAAGTTAATGGTAATTCCATATAAACCTGCGAAGTACTTAATCTCTTCAATGTTCGTCCGGGAGTCGTCTTTTGCTGAAGCATCGGTAAATACGTACAGCGGTGATCCCATGTCAGGTTCCTCATATAAAGCATTTAAGATTGCTGTCATTGTCAATTCAGGACAGTCCCCTCCCCCATGAGCTTTTAAATTGTTAATGGCATTGACGAATAATGCGCCTTGGGTGCTTTCTTTAAACATCACGGGTCCGGTTTCTGGAATCAAAATATACATGAATATCAGGATACTACTGCTATCTAGCTACGCATGCATTATTCATCATTGATTGAAAACTAATAGACTTCCTATGATGTGATTGATTGTACATTTTGCAGGATTTTTGATTGACAACATTTATCACCGGGAAACTGTTGTATAATGATAGGTCTTTTAAAAAAACTGACTCGCTCACATCTCACGTCTCATATTTTATCTGATTGTATGTGGTTGTTAAACTATACTTACTAGGATCGTTGAACGGTGATAGTATATAACTAACAGGATTCTCCCTGGGGTAGTTGATCACGTCTACAGCAATGCGYTTAGCCGCGTCGATGTCATCTGACATACTACCAGTTGTATCAATAGCAAACATTAAT